TCTCTTACTTGATCCACGTCTTTAGCGTATTTGGCACCGCTGTTACTCAATTTATTTTACAGTCCGATATTAAAGTTTTAACTAAGAAAGAAAATGATGTCTCCATGTATTTTGTAATGCAAGTTTGCGGAAGTGTATGGCATACAGATCCTGGCACTAGCTCGGCCTGTGGAGAAATAATTCTTGAAGGTACGGCTCTTGGTTTCTAATGAAGATGTCATAACAAGTGTCATCATGGTATATAAACAGTGACAGGCCAGGGCATCATCAGTTTTGGTTCAGCAACGCAAGTTACCACCACCACCACAGTCCAATATGAAGTTCATGGTAAGTTGACAGGAGTCTGCATTATAACTTCTTGCTTTCCATCCAAAATAATTTAATATTAGTGCGTGTAAAGGTACTGCCCATATACCTAAGGCCGACCGTATCCAGCACGGAATTGTTCTTGCACCTTCCCTTTGACCCTTCTAAATATTGTGAACATGGGATATATCACTCTGTTAATGATCCTTTTTTTTTTCCTTGGCGCTACAGCCCCAGTGGGCCTAGGCCTACCTCCATGAACTTCTCAGTTCACTTCGGTTTTTCTAGATCTTACACATACGGTAGGACTCCTTGGGCGGGTGATCAGCTCGTCGCAAGGCCTCTACCTGTAGACAAACACAGAAAAACGCACACAAACATCCATGCCCTGAGTGGGATTCGAACCCACGATCCCGGCTTCCGAGCGAGAGAAGACAGTGCATGCCTTAGACCGCTGGGCTACCGTGACCGGCGTAATGATCCCTTATCTAATGGAATCACATGTTCTCTTCTTCTGTTCGATGTAGTGGGGCTAATACATGTATTGAAGTCCACAGAAATGTAAAGATCGCTCATCAATTTTTGCTTTTAATTTAATTGCCTTTTTAAAACTTATGGAGGGCTTTTTGATTTGTTTCACTCTGGTCCGCCACACTAATATTATGAAAAAGTTAAACAGTTCCGTCCAGTGTGACTGGTTAACATTTTTTTTTCTTATTTCAATTATTCATGTCCTTACATGTTTCGGTCTTCAGAGGCCATCTTCAGAGGGACACCTTTACATAAGTAGAGTTAGAAGCTACTAACTTTTAAAACATGTACTGTAATAGTGGCTTCTAACTGTATTGATGTAAAGGTGTCCCTCTGAAGATGGTCTTTGAAGACCGAAACATGTAAGGACATGAATAATTGAAATAAGAAAAAAAATCTTAACCAGTCACACTGGATGGAACTATTTAACTTTTTCATAAAATTATGGAGGGCTTCTTAATTTGTGAACTTCATCAAAATTCCTTAAGGTGATTAAGTTAAAACAAGAAAAATAAAAGACGAAACAAATGAGGGAAAAATAGACCTTTATCTGAAAATGGTCAGGGATAATTCAGTTTGGAATATTGGCATAATTTTAAGATAACAGTAAAATATACAAGAGTAAAGGATACTTTTCACGTTACATTAAAATCTTTGACATCTGTGGCACGACGGTTAAAATTTTAGATCGTTGTCACGCATAGTGACGTCATAATATTTTGCATTACAAAAAGTTCTTAACCGCAGCCGTTCTCGCTTTAGGAGAAGAGAATATTTTGAAAATCAAGCACAGAAAATCCAAGTAATACTCCTACAATATCCCATGAGTATATCATGATACATAGCCATTTAATGCAACTGTTTTGGACAACTGTCAATTTGTTAAGCCAACTACGCTACTGCATACCCCGTTTAACAAATTGACAGTCATTCAATAAAATTGTTTTGAATAAAGAGTGCACGCGGTAGCGTCTTTGGTTGGGGCACTGCGCTACAAGCCAGGGGATCGTGGTTTCGATTCCCAATGAAATCACTGGACTTTTCGATTGACCTAACCTAACCTTCCAGCCGCACTATGGTCCTGGGGTAGACTCAGCCTCTAACAGAAATGAGTACCAGGAATCTTCCTGCGGCTAAAGGGCGGCCGTCGCGTAAGGCTGACGTGACCGCCATCTGTGAGCCGATTGTCTATAAAATGTAGGAGCCTCGACGTCTCACAGCCCTATATGCCTCTACGGCCTCTCACAGGGATAGCATCATCTATTTTATTTTCCTGTTCGTTGAAAGCCCATCAATTTTGTCTTTCATCCTTCTTGTTATTCTGAAATGTCTGTAAACTTTACGTCTTATATTGTTCATATTATCCGTATTTATTACTTTTGGATCCTGTAAACACTGCAATTTGGTTTATTTCCGTTTATCTATTAGTTCCAAACATTTTTCATCGAACCATGGTTTAGGCTTCTTAACTTCATAAAAATCTAGACACTCTTGGCCTGAAATGTTGATATTCTATGTAATAGTTTCCAGCGTTTCATTTATATACACCTCAGCGTATAAGTTTTTCAAAGCTTCGAACCTACTTGAGATTTCAAAATGATATCAATCTTTATCCTCTACTTCTTTCAGTTTCTTGATACTGAACCTCTCTAACGTATATAAAGTCTTTGTGTAAGTCTATTTACTAACTGTCAGTATCACAATCTGCTGTCCTGAATGATCGGACATCAAGTATACTTGAATGCCGTCTCATATCTATAAAAAAATATAAATTTTATTATGAATCTTTCCATCAGGAGATGGCCAAGAAAATTTAAGAAAGTTACGATTTGGGAACATAGTACTTTTGACAATTTGATTTTTAGGTCAGGAAAAAATTTACAACTCTAACTCAATTATTGTTACTAATTTCGTCTAACTCTCATTCCGAATTGCTGATTCGAAAATGTCTTCCCTACCTACTTTCCGATTGAAATCTTCTAACAAAAATTTCATATGTTATTTAGGGTATTTATAGAATACACGTTTTGATGATGATAAGTTAAAAAACAAAAAGGTGAGGTGGCTTCTAATGGCATGAGGCTCGTGCTGGGTGTAATGAACATGCCGAGCCTCTTTTAGTTGCGATCAACACAACTGTTGCCACAAGCCTACTTTTCTTTACAAACTCCGGAGTGGCGGCTAGTTATGGCACTGAAGATGTAGAGGCCTCTTTTATTTTTATTATTCACTTCGTGCAGATGACTGTTGCCATCCTGGCCATAGCCGCCTACGTCGTGTACGCTGAGGAATTGAAGCAGCAGCGTGACAAGCGCGGGTTTGCAGCATTGGCGGCTTTCCCCGCCCCATTATCGCCGTTTGCTGCTCCGTACACTTTCGCTTCTGCACCTCTGGCCTACGCTCCAAGCTACACCGCCCCATTCGTCGCAGCTCCACTGACCGCCAGGGCTGTAGCTGGCCCTGCATTTGCTTCGTACACATACCTTGCCTAGCCTTCCAGCTGGGCAGGTGGGTGCTACACGGAGACCAGAGCTGTATCCATCCCACTTGTGCAAGGACAACGGCATCTTCAAAAGAACGATTGTACCATTCTCCTAACACATTTAAGGGTCAGAAATTTGTAAATTCTCCATGCACTCACTGTATATAATAAAGATCAAGCGCACAATGAAATGTCTGTTCATTTATACCCATTGTACTTGTGGGAACAAAGCAGGACAGGGTAAAGAGTTACAAATAATATATGCACTCTCAGGCAGTTCTCATTTCTGTCTGATATTTGAATAATTAACTAACTAATTTTGTGGAGCTGGACCCTTCTTGAGAAGCCGCCAGTCGCTCAGCTACTCAAGAATTCCCCAAAATTTTATGAAACCTGAAGGTTCACTGCGGTGTTCACAAGAGGCTTCCACTGGTCTCTAAATTGAGCCAGATCAATCCAATACACACTACCCCAAACTATCTATTTCTTTTTCATTGCTAGTGGGGTGGGACTAAGTCCTTTGTGCTGCGGCCACTTCTGGCCTATTGTACCAGCCCGAGATGATACGTGAGGGTGATTGTGGAGCAATTGGTGGAATGAGGACTGGCAGGGGAAACCGAAGTACTCGGAGAAAACCTGCCCCAGCGCCACACTGTCCACTACAAATCCCACTGGACCAGAACCCGGGATCGAACCCGGTGGGAAGCCAGCGACTAACCGCTTGAGCTATGGCACGACAAACTATCTATCTAACATCCACTTTAATACTAATCTCCTACCTACATCTAGGTCTTCCCAGTGGTCTATTCCTCCTGGATTTCCCACCCAAATCCTTCATACATTCCTCTTCTCCCGATGCAATCTTCTAATTATACTTGGAGAAGAGTACAATTTATGAAGCTCCTCATTATGCAGTTTTCTCCAACCTCCTGTCACTTCATCTCTTTTCGGTCCAAATATTCTCCTCAGCACCCTGCTCTCAAACACTCTCAATCTATGTTCCTCCATTAATGTTAGAGACCAAGTTTCACACCCATACAGAATCATGCACAAAATTATAGTAGTTTTCTATATTCTAATTTCTAAGTTTTTAGACAGCAGACAGGAAGACAAAAGGTTCTGAACTGAATGGTAGCAAGCATTACCTGAGTTCAATCTCTTAATTTCCCCTGAATCAGGTGGAAATTTGTTATAGTCGTTCCCAAATATCTGAACTGTGCCACATCTTCAAAACCCCTGTTAGCTATCTTTATGTCATGATTTTGCCCTGCATTCTGGTGTCGAGACAGCAACATATACTTAGCTTTTTCTGTAACGTAACAACAATGAACGTGATGTAATGAGAAAGGACGACTGATGAAATGCAGGGATGTTTATATGCAAATGTATTGAACAAAAAAAAATAATTTAATTGTGGTAGAATTTCTACTGATCAATTAGTTGATTGTCCAGAATGCGTAAGCATGGGAAATAAAATAACTGCTGTCAGCCTCACTCTCTTATATGTGTGAACGTGTATGAGTGCATGTAGATTTTTCTTACTAAGGCCTAAATATGAAACTTTTTGAAGAAATGTGAAACTTTATTTAAATTCATGCCTCATCTACACATACTTTGACTGACAGTAGTTGGGATATATTATTCGTATGTCTAGGTATTATACAGGGTTTTAGAGAGCATATTCACAAAATCTAACATTTAATAGCAAGTAAATGTACAGTGAAACTGTATAAAATATGTACACATATCACAAAACGTACAGAAATATTTTAACAGTTTACACGCGAAATTTTATCTCTTCTACAAAGACCAAAATAATGTTCCGCCAAATATTTTCTTCCTTTTGAAGGTATCGTAGATCAGAATGGTTGTCATTTGTAATGTTTCATATTGTAACATGTATAGCTAGGCAACGGCTAGATAAACATATTTCTTGGGTAACACAGGCAACTATATGAATTCATTTACTAGGGTTTTGATACACGCAGTGTAATTTTAACTGATTGAAAGCGAATATCCAAGGCAATGAACCGTTCAAAGCACAGTAACGGCTAAGAACGCAATAACTTTACTGTTGAAAGAGGTGTCTTCTACACGGTTCGCTGGCGAGGACCAGCAGCAATTGTAAACGACACGCCCGTCCTCCCGTCAGAGAGAGCGCCCCACATCAACAAAACCTCAACAGTCTGACAGTAATAAAAATCTAGCCGTAAGCCCAAAATGGGTACTTTATTCCAAGACAGACTGGCCGACTGACCGTCCGTCGTAATATAAGACACAGACTCATAATGAATTAATTGCGTGATTGTGGAATTATGGATTTTGACTTGGCTTCGTACAGACTTGAATCACCGAATTCGTTCCAGGAGCATCCAAGTGTTGAAGTGTTGAAGACTTTATGTGTTATTGTGCCAGTAATCATTTAAAGTGGTATAATTATTTGTAGTTACGACTGATGAGTGCTCAATAAATAGATGCATCTAATCCAGAAGCCATTAATTACTAGCCACGTAAACAGGTACGTGACAATATTAATACAACCACGCCGGGGTAACCACTTTCTGTTCCATGTGTGAGAAAATATAAGATAGCCGTACAAGAAGTGACTCGAGGTTTACAAAAGTTACGACACCTGATGACAAGGCCACCTTCCATTACACTGCGGCAAGCTACGCACTATAGGGTCAAGTAAGACAGGTTAGTTAGGCTTCCCTTTATAGATGGGTTAGCCATCTTGACAACAGATGGCACAGGTCCTATTGTCTGTAGATAATGCAGTCAGGTGTTAACATGTTAAAAGACCCGAAATGTTTCTTCTATCATTTAAATTTTTCACACTAACTTCATTCAGAATTTGTGATCATACCCCACAATGCTGTATGGGGAAGTGGACGTAAAGCTTCATGCATCCTTAACTTCTGCACGAGACGGTGGTCAGTGGGCAGCTTCATGCCCCAGCTGCTGGAAAAAATGTCCTTTCAATGGCAAAGCTTTCGGTAATTTTTACAACTATGGAGAGAAACTGTGGTCGTTATCCATAGATGCTGAATCCCAGCGGGGCCTTAGCAGCGGCCGGAGCATACTCAGCTGGAGCTGCTGGTACATAAGACGGGGCCGCAGGCACGTAGGGTGACGCAACTGCAGGTGCGAAGGCCGCAGGCACGTGGGGCGACGCAACTGCAGGTGCGAAGGCCGCAGGCACGTAGGGCGACGCAACTGCAGGAGCGTAGGCTGTCAGATACACAGGTCTGATTGCAGCAGTATAGAACGAGTCAACGGGCGAAAGCGGAGCTGCAGCTGGAGTCAGGGGTACGGAGACAGCGGATGCACCAGCTGCAGTGTACGGAGGAACTGCAGGTGTATCTGGTGAAACCGGACCGTACCCAGCGATCCCGGGTGTAAGACCTCGCTTCGACTTGTAGTAATCTTCCTTGACGAGGGAACGAGATGTGGCCATTCTCATAAACGTCAGCATCACCACCATTGTGAACGAAATGGATATCTGCAAGCAGTAAATTGCGTGTCAGGATTGGTGTGCTCCAGTATTGATAATGATTGTTGATATATTCTCACTTGAAATGACTGAAAGTCGCTGTGCCCATGCGAAGTACATCGATATGGGTTTCCAGTGATTAAAGGCATAAGATTTTTAAGTCTACTGTTACAAGAATATTCTGTCGGTCTGCTCAGTTTAGCTCATACAGTCATTCTTTCTCTTCTTAAGATACATGTATTAATATCCAGGTTCGTTTCAGTGGCACAGTGTACTACCCCTTCATATGTACTTACGTGTTACAAATATTAGCTACGTAAATCTCTCCATTTCGTTCATATCGAAAGTGTGAGAAGAAAATAAATTTCCACACTTCTGTGGTCATAATTTCCTTGATTCTCCTTTCGTTTAATATGTCTTAGATGAAAGTATTTCCTTGTTATCTTCTTTAAGTGTATCTTAAAGAAACTATTTTCAGTTCATTATATTTCAAAGCGTCTTGAAAACAATAGACAAAAATCAACATGTCACACAGGGCCTACGTAATCCTTGCCCATTCATTCACGACGTCTTTGTAGTGAACATAAACACACCTCGAGCAGTAGGTTCAAGAGATCAATTTTTGGCCTTCTCTGGGCCACTTCCTGCAAGCCTGTTCTGCTTTTTGCAATGGAATTACAGGCGGTCGGGAAACGAACAAAATAACCCACACAAATTTACTCAGTGGAACTCATTCACTCATGGAGCTGAGCCCGTCTTGAGAAGCCGCCAATTGTACGGCTACTCTAGAACTTCCCAGCATTTTATGGAACACGAAGGTTCATTACCGTGTTCACAAGAGACCTCCAGCGGTTTATATCCTTAGCCAGATCAATCCAATCCATCCCGTCCTATCCCTCTGAGATCCATTTTAATATTTTCCACCAACCTACGTCTTAGTCTTCCCAGTGGTCTCCTTCCTTCCGGCTTTCCCATCAATATCCTATATGCATTTCTTCTCTCCAAATTCGATTTACATGCCCTGCCAATTTCATCCTCCTTGGCCTGATCATTTTAATTATACTTGGAGAAGAGTATAAGTTATGCAGTAGTACATAAATATTTTATTATGGTTGTGATAATGATTAGCAGTTACTCGTGATATTTGGCTTTCAGCATATCACAATTCCTCCGGCTCACTGTGAACTAATAGCAGATTTTCCACTCGTGGCACTGTTGGGTTATCCATACATCCATTCCACAGTTAACACGAACGAAGTGTAGGCTACTATATCACACACATATGAACATGTTTAGTGATACACTTAGAGCAAATCCGGTCAACTGTCGTACTATATGACCGACATTCCAAGGACTACTCGTATTTCGGCCATTAGCTTGCATGTCTGAAAATTTTGATTAATACAATTTGAAATAGAGCCCTCCTCCCATTGAAAATTAAGATTTTTAGCTTTAGCTTCATCTGCCTTAACCGAAAATATTAAGATACGAAGGCTTGCTGTATTTTTGTTATTTATCGCCACGCATGCAGATCTAGACATTATAGAGATATATTTTCACCATTGTACTTACGACTGCGGAGTTCATGGTGATGCGTGAAAGCACTGCAAGGAACAAAAATTTGCAAGTGATACAGAAAACGAAATGTTTGTCTTTATATACAACCATACAGAAATATATTCACTTCATTTCCACCACGTGACTTTAATCTTGGCAAAGGTGATGTCATTCTTCTTGAATTACTAGTCCAGTCATATGGCCTTGGGAACAATGACCTCCACCTCCACATCATAGGAGAGTCACATAATCGATTCCATTTTAGTGAAATCGGACGGGCGACTATTAGAGTGAAACCCCCGGAAGTAGTTTCATGAATTCTTGAATGGCATTTGACTTGCATGTATGATCAGGCGCATGTGTCTGGGGATATATGCCTAATAATGATTCTGTATTTCAGCATCCCGTTGCAATTGTTCAACTTAACGTCCAGTATTTAACGTCCGTCAATATTGTAACACTTTTTTATTCACTACTTAATTTTAATTTTAAGCACAATAGACCACTGTAGGTCGCGGTGCAAGGACCGAGAAGGCCCACCCCTTATACATTCATTCATTTTAATTTTAGTTTAACATTATACACTTTGACACTATATGTTTCGGCCCCAAACGGCCATCTTCAGGTGTCTTGACATGTTACAAATATTTTATTAAATTATGTTAAAACTGCTACACTGTCTTAGCCCGTGTTAAAATCACATGCTGTAGTTCTCTTTTCAAGGTAAAACCAGATAAAATCCTTTAAAGTTTCTATTATACCCACGTTATTTTGGTGCATTTTATTTCACCTCACACGGGGTGTCGTCCTTTGTTCATAAACGTATGTCTGTCCAGGGGGTTTTGTTTCGGCAGCTTGCCCCTCACGTTCGTAGCCTGCTTTTCAGTTATGACAGCCACGTGCCCCTGGTTTGCGTGTTTCCTCCACAGCGTGTGGTGTTGTCTTTACTAGTGCCTCACACCTGAAGATGGCCGTTTGGGGCCGAAATATGTAGTGTCAAAGTGTATAATGTTAAACTAAAATTAAAATTAAGTAGTGAATAAAAAGTGTTGCAATATTGATGGACGATAAATAATGGACTTTAAGCCTAACAATATTTACTTACTCATGGAGCTGAGCCCTTATTGAGGAGCCGCCAATTCTGCAGCTACTGAAGAACTTCCCAGCGTTTTGTGGAACCCGACGGTTCATTACCGTGTTCACAAAAGTCCTCCACTGGTCCCTATCCTCAGCCAGATCAATCCACTCCATACCATCCCATCCTACCTTTCTAAGATTCATTTTAATATTTTCCACCCACCTACGCCTTGATCTTCTCAGTGGTCACTTTCCTTCTGACTTTCCCACTAATATCCTATATGCATTCCTCTTCTCACCCATTCGTGCTACATGCCCTTCCCACCTCATCCTCCTTGACTTGACCATTCTCATTATAATTGGAGAAGAGTACAAGTTATGAAGCTC